CAGTGAGGGGCTGGAGACAAGCAGGTGCTCTACCACTGAGCCACGCCCCCAGTCCCTCCCTGGGATTCCATTCATAATGAAAACCCCAAGCTCCCTCCGGGCTCAGGTTCCACAGGAGAATCACCCCTAATGCTTCTCAGGGATGCAGTCTCTGACTTGCAGTTCCTCTTTCCAGGCCTGGCTCTTTCAGACCTCCTACCCGTGCTATGGTCCCCTACACACACACACACACACACACACACACACACACCATCATCTCTGGTCCTCCTGAAGCTTAAGCCCCCCTAGAGCCCCACTTACCTGGGCCTCGCCCAGCCCCAGCTCAATGGCTTCCAGCGAGTGGTTCACCACCTGTTGCTTCTCTTCCAGCAGTTCCACACCAGCCACAGGGCCTGGTCCAGCCAGGGCCTCCGCCAAGTGCCCGGCCAGACTATGGTGCTCGGCCCGCAGGGCCTCCAGTCCCTGTACAACCTGTCGTGTCTGCCGCACCAGCTCCTCGGGGTTCAGGCGTTCTGGGCCCAGCCCTGTGCTTCCGGGGGCTGCCACCTGCACAGACATGGCTGCTCCTGGGGGGCAGTTAGGTTGAGGGAGTCACCATCTGGGCCACACAGACTCACAGCCTCTCTTCACTCCAGCCTTCCTCCTGCCCATCCCTTTCCATCACAGGCGGCCGTCACCGTCATCGGGAATATTCTACCTTCGTAAACCCAGGGCTCTGCCCCGAGGAAAGCTCTTAACTCTGAGTGATTAGTCAAGAGGACCAACAGCTGGTTCCAGAGCCCCCTCCGCCCCGCTGCACTATGCTCACCTGGTCCAGCCCTCCCCACCCGGGTCCCCAGACACCCCAGCTCAGAGCTTCCCAGCCTGCTGAGCGCCCTGGGACCGGAGGTGCCACCTCTGCCGGGCTGAGAGGCGGAGCGTGTGGAGGCGGCAGGCTCCCAGTGAGCTCATTCTTAGGGTGTTTTTGTCAGGAACCAGTCAGGCCACTGGTGGGGGGGCCGAGGGCAGGGATGAGGGATGGAACCCGGTAAGCAGAGCCGCAGAGCAGAGGGCTGGAGAAAGGGTGGGTGGGCGTGTCTAGGAGGGGCCGGCTGTTGGCTCTTGGGCTTGACAACATCTTGATGGACAGGACTAGGGGTCCCAACCACCGCAGCCAGGCTTGATGAGGCCGTGTTTCGACCCATGGCGCGAGGGTGACAGTGTCTATGTGACACCTGAGCACTGGTGGGGTCTGCCAAATGGATTTTTGTGTTTTTATGTGGGTAACCGAGTCAGAGGCTTAGTGGGGGAACCTCACCAACACACACACACCTCAGTAAACACACAAAACTCTCCCTTTCTTCCTTCCTTTATTATTTCTTTAGCCAGAGTCTCACTCTGTAGCAGCCCAGGCTGGCTTGGAATTCACAGAAATCCACCTGTCTCAGCCCTTGAGTGTGCTGGGACTAGGGGTATGTGCCACCTCCTAGCCTTTTTTAAAAAAAATAATATCTTTAATTTTTGAGATTGGGTCTCATGTGCCCAGACCGGCCTTGACCTTGCTAGTTGAGGGTGACCTTAAGCAACATGCACCACCAATCTCCATTTATGGGGTGCTGGGGATGAACCCCGGGTCCTGGACATGCTATACATACCTAGGATGGGCGGTCTAAGCAAGCAGTCTCATCAACTGAGCCCCAGCCCAGGTCCTTCTTAAAGCCCCAGCGGCAGACAGAAGCCCATCTCAGACACAGCTCAACACACTCTCTCCTTTCACACGCC